ATCAGCAGATTTGGTTGCCAGACATTTTCTCTCTCCTAAAGCCTTCAGTGCTGCTGCTGGTAAGCGCCTCGCTGGTGCCAGGCAGTTAGCTCGGGCATAAAGTCTTTTCTGACTCTCACCACAGCAGGCTCTCTTGGGAACGGACATTTACCTTTTAATACACAGGCCCAGCTCCAACCTTTACCTGTGCTGTGAGTTGTTTTTGAGACTGCTGAAATGTCCTTTTTCTTAATCTTCACCCAGCAACTTCAGTGGATTCATAATTCTTGCCTGTGTGTTATAGTGGAAGATGTGACGTTTATTTGCATGCAGACGAGTTTATTGAACTTGTTGTTTCCTTTGGTTTGGGGGCCATACCGAGCAATGCTTGGGTTCCTCCTGGCTCAGACTCTGGAACTACCCCTGGAGGTGCTCAGGGGAACTGTGTCTGGTGCTGGCCATCCAACTCAGGTCGGCCACAAGCAAGGCAAAGGCCATCGCTCCAGCCCCTGAACTTTTTTTCTTTTGCTGTGCTGGGATTGAGTCCAGGGCTTCTCACATGCCAGGCAAGTGCTCTAGCACTGAGCCATGTCCCTGTCCCTGGTTCACTGTGCCACACCCAATGACTCCGGGGCCACTCTTCGGCTTTCTGTTTGGGTGTCACTTCCGATAGGGTTTAGGGGACATTGCACTGCTGGTCAAACCCAGGCCGTAGAAATTCATGTGAAGCTTGAACTTGGTTGAGCTCTTTAGCCCCCAAATCACCATTATGGGGGGGCCGGGCTTCAAAGGGATGCTTAGGAGGTCAGGGACCTCACCCAGTAATTTACAAGGCTGGTAGTCCAAAATTAGAGCCCGGGGACACAATGCTAGGGGCCCTGCAGTACTTGTAGTGGCTCAGGCCATCCCAGTGATGCTCGGAGAACCAAGCAGGAATCAGTCAAATTGGTCAGCAGCCCGTAAATAATCCTCCATTCGCTCTCTAGGTCAATGTCATTCTTTAAAGACTGCCACTCCGCCTGTGTTGTCTCCACCTGTTACGAGCCCCATTAAATCGGGCCAGAGCCATAGTACAGCCGGCAAGGTGTTTTGCTTTGCATGCAGCCAGCCCAGGTTCAGTCCCAGGTTGGATTCCCAGCACCCCCGAGCACCGCCAGGAGCAAGTCCTTGTACAGAGCCAGGAGTAACCACTGAGCATCACTGGGTGTGACCCAGAAAGAAAAAAAAAATCATTAAACTAGGGGCCAGAGATAGTACAAAGGGCAAGTTGCGTACCTTACACATAGCCAACTTGGGTTCAATCCCCAGCACCCCATGTGGTCCCCTGAGCACTATGATCCCGAGCACAGAGCCAGGAATAGCACTGAGCATTTCCAGGTATGGACCAAAAAAAAAATTGTAGACTTTTTAACTGATCTATTAGGATATGTAAATAACCTCAGATTTGACCACTGTGAAACCTTCAAGCAGTAGAGCTTCCCTTTTCAGAAGCCCATCAAGCTTGTAGCATGCCCCTGCGTTCCGACATGATATCCAAGTTCTCCGTGCTTTTCCTACCCAAACCTCGAGTCACCTTTACACTGACTCCCCCAAATTCTGGTTCCTTTTATATATATTTGGATTCTTGGCGTAAATGGACCATGGGTTTTGCCTCCTGTGACTATTCCGAATCAGAAGCGTCCCTAGGCACCAGAAGGGTAGTACAGCAGGTGCGTGGTTCTTGCCTTGCATGTGGCCCACCCAGCTTCAAACCCCGGCACTACTTACGGTCTCATGAGCCGGCCAGAAGTGATCCCTGAGTGCAGCCAGGAGTGTTCCCTAACCACAGCCAGGCATGGCCCAAAACCAAAAGGCCTCATGCCCAGACTTGAGTAATTTGCTTGTGCTACAGCTGAAGCAAGATACTTTGGGGGTGAGGAACGCTACTTACTCCTGGGCTGTGCTCAGAAGCCATTCTTGTTGGTGTTTAGGGGACCATATGTGGCACTACAGAGCAAACTAGGAGGGCCATGTGCAGGCTGAGCACTTCACCTCCTGTACTAACGCCACTTGGTCCTGGCAGTGCTTGGGAGCTCTATGGGTACCAAGGATCAGACCTGGGTTAGCCACATGCAAGGAAACGCACCCTATTTGCTGTACTGTCTCTCCAGCCTTCCCCACACAAGGGAGGAAACTTCATTGCTCCGGCCCTGGGAGGAATTTTTTATTTGGAACAAGTTTCAGGTGATTTTGATGTGCACTCAAGGTTGAAAATAATTTGCATTGAGTCCTCAAGGTCTAATGAAGTCTGTTCATCAGAGACTTATGCCTTAGAGAAAACAGAAATCTCAGAATTGCTCCTTGTTTTCCATGACTTTCTTACTGAGCTGACAAGTACGTGGGCTGATGCCATCGAACATGTCTGCGAGGTCACAAGGCATTGTGTTTGCTCTCCTGGATCCACCCATATCCCTGGTCCAGAGAAGTCCCGGCAAAAAGCAAAAGGACGGAGAGTTGAAGCCGGCTGGGGAGACAGACAGGCCTCAGTGAAAACAAACCCAGGACCTTATCTGTCCATGGTAGTAGTGGAACTCATCTTTGGCAAAAGTAGGAAAAGACCAAAGCAAGCCGGGAACAGTGATGCAGTTATTTTGGCCAGAGCAAAATGTAGGGGGAGAAGGCAGTAGCTCAAGTGATAGACCACATGCCTAGCAGGTTGCACTGTTGGGTGCCAGCCCTGTCCTTAAAATGCTGGGAGGCTGGGGTCAGAAAGATAATCGAGGGACAGAGGTAATGTTTGCCTTGCACGTGGCCCACCTGGGTCTGGAGCCCTCCAAGAGTGATCCCTAAGCACAGATGGCTATTGCCTGAAAACAAAGCCCCCCCCCCCAAAAAAAAAGCAAGAAATGAGATAAGGATCAGATAGGGGTGCAGAGAGGTTGCTGCTTTGCATTTGGGACGCCTGCCTGGATTCAGTCAAGGGCACCACATGATCCCCAGTACTGCCTGAGCACTCCCAGGAGTAGCCCCTGAACACTGCTCTGCAAGGTTTAGAAACCAAACAAAAACTCAGACAGGCCAAACTGCGGAGAGATTTTCCAGGCCAAGTAACTTAAAAGTAACCTGTTAGGGGGCTGAAGTGACGGTTCAGTTAGTAGGGGGCACCTGACCCGGGTCAGGTACATGCAACCTCCAGTATCCCACAGGGTTTCCCAAGTATTGCCAGGAGTGATCCCTAAATGCAGTCAGTAGCCCTGAGCACCATCAGGTGTGACCCCAGAAGTAGGGTGTTGGGCCCAAAGAGTTCAAGGTGGTGAACAGCTGAGTTGGCCCCTTCTTCCCTCCCACGAAACCTCCATCTCCTCTGTGACGGTAGCTTCAGCTCTGCCCCTGCTAAGTGGCACCTCTGGGTGAGGCATTCATATCCCCCCCACTGAAATAAAGCCTGTTTGGTTTGGGGGGGGGGGCCCATAGGGCAGTGATAAGTGTTGTACAAGCACGAGGCAAACATTCTACCACCCAACGGCATCAATCCAATCCATGACATTAGATTGTTTCTTTACGGACAAAGTCACAACCAGCACTGCTTAAAGCTATTCCTAGTTCTGCTCAGAAGTGACCCCTGGGGAAAAAAAAAAAAGAAAAAGTTAAAAAAAAAAATGACCCCTGGCTGTGCTTGAGGGACCTTCCATGATGCCAAGGACTCAAACGGGTCAGTAGTGGGGCTGGAGCAATAGTACAACAGTTGCCAAAGACTTCCCTGTCGCACTGCCAACCTGGATTCTATCCCCAGTACCCCACATTGTCCCCTGGGAATGATCCCTGAATGCAAAGCCAGGAGTAATCCTGAGCACTGCTAGGTATGGTCCAGAAACAACTAAACTGCGGTCAGTAGGATACAGGGCAAGCATTGTTAGTCCCGTACCTTCTGTCCCAACATTGGGAGTGTTACAAGGTGTAAAGGTGTTTAGCAAAAATGAACCCAGTGACGGCAGAAATATTTGGGAAGAGAAAAGGGACAGTACAGTCAGGAAGCTTATATAGTCAGGCATGAGGTAAGAGTGTCTGAACAAAAGTGGTAAGAATCTAAAGTTAGTCGGGGCAGGAACGGTAGCACAGTGGTAGGGCCTTTGCCTTGTGCATAGCCAGTCCGGCTGAGCCGGGTTCGATTCCTCCGCCCCTCTCGGAGAGCCCGGCAAGCTACCGAGAGTATCTCGCCCGCACGGCAAAGCCTGGCAAGCTCCCCGTGGCGTATTCGAGATGCCAGACACAGTAACAACAAGTCTCAAAATGGAGACGTTACTGGGCCCGCTCGAGCAAATTGATGAACACTGGGAGGACAGTGAACAATCTAAAGTGGAATCGGGTTCTAGAAGCAGACATGAGAATGTGCAGGTCAAGTGACTTCTCCATTACATATTAGTCCCTGGAACTTTATTTCCTGAAACCAAATCTCGACGAGTCACACAACTTCTGAGCCTGCTTGCCTTTCAAATGGTACAGAGAGCAATACGTATCTCAGAGACATGAGGACTACATGGACTTCACACCCCCCCCCCCCGCCTTGGTTTTGGGGCCACACCAGGAATACTCAGGGCTTACTCCTGACTCTGCACTCGGATCACTCCTGGGAATGCTCAGCGAGGCCCAGGGGACATACGGGATGCTGCTCTGTTTTGTTTTTGGTGTTACTTCTGGCATTGATCTCAGAATTTACTTCTGGCAGTGCTGGGAGACCATGTGGGATGCCACGGATCGAGTTCAGGTCAGCTGCATATAAGACAAGCACCCTACCATGCTGCTGCTACCACCACTAGTCGCATCTCAGTTATACTGTCCCCCCAGTCCCCATATGGGGCACTGAGGGCTGGCCACATGCAAGGCAAATGCCCAACACAACGTATTGTTGCTCTGGCCCCTAATGAATCTGTATTTTGCAGAGTGTTACCTGGCTCAGTGAGCAGACATTGGGAGGGCAAATCAGATCGTGATTCCATGGGTCGTACTCCGTATCATGTCTGTCTGCCGTGTTCTCTTTCCAGAGCGTGACCTGTTGGAGAGCCAAGTTCATGGAGGCCTTTTTCTCCCACGTGCTTCGTGGGACGATCGACGTGTCTTCTGACCGGCGTCTGTGTGACCAGCGCTTCTCGCCTCTCCTGCACAGCTCCCGCCACGTCCGGCAGCTTACCATCTGCAACATGCTGCAGGGCGCAACCGAGCTGGTGGCCGAGCCCAACCGCAGGGTTCTGGAGACCCTGGCCAGCTCCCTGCACACCCTCAAATTCCGTCACCTCCTGTTCTCTGACGTGGCTGCCCAGCAGTCCCTCAGGCAGTTGCTTCACCAGCTCATCCACCACGGGGCTGTCAGCCAGGTGTCGCTGTACTCCTGGCCCGTGCCCGAGTCGGCCCTCTTCATCCTCATCCTCACCATGAGTGCTGGGTTCTGGCAGCCAGGCCCTGCTGGGCCGCCCTGCCGCCTGTGTGGCGAGGTGTCCCGGGGCCGGGCCCCGTCCCGCGAGGAAGGCTCCCTCTTGCTGGGCTCACGCCGACCTCGCAGGGATGCCGCCGAGCGATGTGCCGCGGCCCTCATGGCCTCCCGGCGGAAGAACGAAGTCAAGCAGACGGCCAGAGCTGTGCCTCCCTCTCGGATCACACGCAGGAGCACACAGGAAAGCCTGGCGGCGGGAGGGACAGGGCCAAAGCAGGAGCCGCACCCTCCGGCCACTTCCCAGGAGGCCTCTGGCAATAAGCGGCCGCCCTCTTCGCCAGCCACCAGCTCCTCTGCCGCCTCTTCCTCGTCTGCATCCAAACGGGCTCCGGCCTGCTCAGCCCCACAGCCTAAGCCCCTAAAGCGTTTCAAGCGAGCCGCAGGGAAGAAGGGCCCTCGCAGCCGGCAGGGCTCAGGCGCAGAGTCGGAAGACCTGTATGACTTTGTTTTCATTGTGGCCGGTGAAAAGGAAGACGGGGAAGAGATGGAGATCGGGGAAGTGGCTTGCGGAGCCCTGGATGGATCTGACCCCAGCTGCCTGGGACTCCCAGCCCTGGAGGCCTCCCAGCGGTTCCGCAGCATTTCTACGCTGGAGCTCTTCACGGTCCCACTCTCCACGGAGGCGGCGCTGACGCTGTGCCACCTGCTGAGCTCCTGGGTGTCCCTGGAGAGCCTCACGCTCTCCTACAACGGTGAGTGCCCTGGAGGGCGGGGTTGAGAATACCAGCAGCAACAGCGGGGCAGAGCAGAGCTGACTAGGTGGCCGAAGACGGGCCTCATGGCCAACAGAAGGCAAAGAGAACTAATGGCCAGCAGACGATGATAAAGACCACCGAGCTGTAACGATTTATAAAGGGGTTCCTCAGGAGCAGTGAGACCAGTAAGTTGCACATTTTAGATGTGGAAGCCAATCCAAGATTGGCAAAGTGTCTCCAGGCCCAGCTAGGGGTTGACATTGCATCCTACAGTCATTCGGAACAGACATGTACACACAGAAGTTCTTGTTTTAAATCAGACCAGAAATCCGGAAAGCGTTCCTCAGTTCCTTTCCCGTCTGGCTCTACCCAAGTAGCCAAACCCAGCAAGCTCTTTGCTCAGCGCTGCTGAAGAAATCCACAACTATGCAGTTTAGTGCCGTTTTCTTTTTAGTTTGTTTGATTTGGGGGCCACGCCTGGCGGTCTTCAGGAGTCACCCCTGGCTCTGCACTCACAGATCACACCTAGCAGTGCTCAGGGGACCATACGGGATGCCAGGTCAGGTACATGCAAGGCAAACTCCCTACCCATTGTGCTATCACTCTGGCGCCTCCAGCTGGTACTGTGTTCATAGTCACGTGAATCCTGTGGTTGCAACAGAAGCTGCCGTTCCTACACTACCCCTTTCAAACCTTTCCTCGCCAGACCTTATCTCTACTTCGTGGAGAACACAGAGCCATCATACCTGCCCTTCAACCAGTAGCCAACATATTCATTCTACCCCAATTTAGCACTCACCCTTTCTTCACTGCAGTGGAACAGATGATACATGTGCTTTGGGTCTCAGTTTAGGGACACTCTTCAGAAGGCTTCATTGTAAGACGACGTTTACATGTCACTTGGCATGTATCCTGGCACATTTTAAGTATTCTCATTCCGTTACCCAGTTAACCCTTTAACCCTGTGAAATCAAGATAGTTCATTAGAGCCAGAATTCAAACCCTGGCATCCTTGCTTGAATTCACATAGGTTGTTTGGTGAGTTTTTTGTTTGTTTTTTTTTTGGGGGGGGGTGCTGTACCAGCAGTACTCAGGGTCTATACCCCGCTTAATGGTCACTTGCTCCTTAGAGTGTCTGGGGAACCACAGGGTGACAGGGAACAAATTCAGGCCTTTTGCACACAAAGCTTGCCCTGTAGCCCTTTGAACCATCTCTGTGTCGAGTCCCTCATCTCTCTGCTGCTTAGTTTGCAGACGTCCCCAGAGCCTGTCGTCCTACCCGCAAACACATGCCGCCATACCAACACAATCTTCAGTTTTGTGATTCCCTGGCTGATTTTTGATGTACAGCAGACATCAGTTTGCTGGTGACCTGAGGAAAAAGCAAGACAGTGGGTTAAGTAGATCAACAATGACTTAGATCTGACCCAAGGTCAAGATTTTTTTTTAAAAAAATTTGAGCCACACACAGGGTTCCTCCTGCCTCTGCAACAGCTACTCCGGCAGGGCTCGGGGGGCCATATGGGATGCCAGGAATCAATCCTGGATTAGCCACGTGCAAGGCACACATTTTCCCTTTTGTTCTACTGCTCCAGCCCCCAGGCTCAAGATTTGGTAGTACCAATAGAGATATGTGCAGTTACCTGTGAACTTTGCCTGCTGACAGAAATTTCTCTCCTGCTACAGGCCTGGGCTCCAACATCTTCCGCCTCCTGGACAGTCTTCGCGCCCTGTCGGGCCAGCCCGGGTGCCGCCTCCGAGCCCTGCATCTCAGTGACCTGTTCTCACCATTGCCCATCCTGGAGCTGACCCGGGCCATTGTGCGAGCCCTGCCCCTGCTGAGGGTCCTCTCCGTCCGAGTCGACCACCCCAGCCAGAGGGATAATCCGGCGGTGCCAGGGAATATGGGCCCCCCCAGACACATGATTGGGGATGAAGAGATACCAGGTGAAGCACTGAGAATGCGCGTCTCCGTACGAATGTGTAGAGGACAAGAAAGCCTCTAGTCCAGGCCTGTCACCATCCAGACCTAGTTTGGCTGCAGTCTTTGGGTTCAAGCCTATCCTTTTTGGTTTTGAGAGGTCGGGCTTGGGGAGCCATGTGCCGGTAATTGAACGTGGGGTTTCCAGACACAAGCATACTTTTTTTTTTGGGTGGGGGGGAGGGTGGCAGTAGCAGGGCTGTGCTCAGGGCTGATTCCGGACTGTTCAGGGATCACTCCTGGCAGGCTCTGGGGGTCCTACATGGATTTGGGGGATTGAACCTGCATCAGCCACATGCAAGGCAAGCACCCTCTCCAACCCCATTCTAGCTCCTAGAGCCATCTTCCCACCCAGTAGCCTGTCATCATTGAAAATGGAGCCCACAGGTCTTGGGCCCAGTGATGGCTTTTTCCGTACTAGGTGTCACAAACCCAACCATTGGCGATTTTGTTCCCTTAGTTTCTCTCATGTCACGCTGCATTCTGTTTAATTGTGTCACAATTTCATCTTTAGTCCCATCAAGGAAGGCACGGACTAAATCTTTTGCTTAGTGCTAGTTCCTGAACGTATCGCGGTACTTAGCATATAGTGGGCGCTCAAGACAAGTGCGTCAGTTACTGTTTGGCGAATCCCTTAGGATCGGATGGGATCAGTTATGAGAATGCAAGAGAGCGCTTGTTTCGGCAGCGTATACCAAAACTGGGATGGTACAGAGAATGGAGTAGAGATGACCAATTAAAGTCTCTCCCCGCCATATCCAGAAAACTGCCTGGAACAGCTGGAAATGGGGTTTCCAAGAGGAGCCCAGCCGGCTTCGCTGCTCTGCGCCGTCCTGAAGGCCTCTGGTTCTCTGCAGCAGCTGTCCCTGGACAGCGCTACCTTTGCCTCGCCCCAGGACTTTGGGCTTGTGCTGCAAACGCTCAAAGGTAGGATCCAGCCAGGTGGCAAAGGGTGGAGGACAGGAGGGGACCGTGCGTTGTTCTTGGAAGCCTAAGACCCGTCTTGTGCCCCATCCAGAGCACAACCTGGCACTGAAGAGGCTCAGCTTCCATGACATGAATCTGGCGGACTGTCAGAGTGAGGTGCTCTTTTTGCTACAGAACCTGACGCTTCAAGGTAAATCCTTCCTCCAGAATCCCCAGCACGCTCCTGGATCCTCACTGTGGCACTGCCACTCTCACAAGGGACAAACCACAACTATGAAACAGTCGGCTTTATGGCTCGGTAGTGGGGTACATGCCTGGGTTTAATCCCTGGCACCACAAAAACATAAAAGGGCTGTAGTAATCAGCATGACCACCTTCCTTCTAAAACCTCCCTTCCTTCTAAAATGCAGTTCATCTTCTGCAAAACGTAGGAAATCACTCACTTTCATACTGCCTCATCCAAAAGATGTTAACTGTCAGTGACTGGCAGAGTGAGTGCTGTTGGGAAGCTACCCTCAGATTCCCCCCTGCAGAGCGGGTGGTCAGTGGAGAAGAGGCAGGAGTGGAGAATGTCCGTGCAGAGAACCAGCTTACAATGACGTACAGAGGTGCAGTCTCTGGTGTGGATCCTCATGTAGGAAGTTTCAGTCTTGCCTGGGGTCTTGGACAATTCTCTCACGCCCCTTGCTGAGGCCAACTGAGGGAGCACCAGTCCCAAGGCAGCCATCAGACTGTATTTCGATTTCTCTTGACAGAGATTACCTTCTCCTTCTGCCGGCTGTTCGAGAAGCGCCCAGCCCAATTTCTGCCTGAGATGGTTGCTGCTATGAAGGGGAATTCCACACTGAAGGGCCTTCGGCTGCCGGGGAACCGCCTGGGTGGGGGCAGGGCCCTGGGAAAGAGGGAAGGAGCCGGTCCTTTGACCTGGCAAGTGGGGGGGCCGGGGAGGGTGCTGGGCGGTTGGGGGCTGGGTTTCTCTCCAGCCAGACTGGGAAGGGCCCCCTTCGCCCCTGCTCTTGAGCGGCAGTGACAGGCACTGTTCCCCTCTCTCCTCACAGGGAATGCTGGCCTGCTGGCCCTGGCAGACGTGTTCTCAGAGGACTCATCCTCCTCGCTGTGTCAGCTGGATATCAGGTACAGGTGGCAGGGTCGGGGATCAGGGCATGCAGCCCAAGGAGTATAGACGAGGGATTAGTTGTTCCTGGATTTCTAACCCATCTCACCCCTGCCAGTTCCAACTGCATCAAGCCAGATGGACTTCTGGAATTCGCCAAGCGGCTGGAGCGTTGGGGTCGTGGAGCCTTTGGTCACCTGCGCCTCTTCCAAAATTGGCTGGACCAGGATGCAGTCACAGCCAGGGAAGCCATCCGGCGGCTCCGGGCCACCTGCCACGTGGTTAGCGATTCTTGGGACTCCTCCCAGGCCTTCGCGGATTACGTCAGCACCATGTGACAGGGCCCTCCTCACAGGCCCCTGCAGAAGCTCAGCGTGGTGTGCCCAGAACTCCCGCCACCAATTCTGTCTTTCTCTTTGGCCACCTTCCCCTCCCTCCTCCCTTTCACTGAGGTCCGGGAGGCCTTGATGGGGCCCATCAACAGCATCCCCCACCTAGGCTTAGGCCATCGGGCCCCTTTCTCAGTGCCCTGGAAACCCTGGCCAGGAGGTCACAATGCTTATTGGCCACCGAGGGCAGCCCCTGTCCCCCCCGCACCCCGCCCCAGGATTCCTGCTTCCCTTCTCAGGCAGGTACCAGGCTTTAGGGACATGTAGGGTGCCCACTACCAGCTCTCTTCTCTGGCGGGCTCACCATGCTGCTCCCAGGCCTCAGTCCCTTTCATACCTTTATTCCTTTCTTTTTTTTAACCAAAAAAGTTTTTCTTATAAAATAAATTTTGGGCAAACATCATGTCGCCCTTCTTGATTTTTCTCCCAGAGAACAAAATTCAGCAGCCCCCGTTTCGGGGCGGGGAGGCCCTTGCACAGCAACGCCTCGCTCGGCTGGTTCTCAGCGGATGCCCCGCTGCTCCTCGTGGGAATGCTGGTGGAAGACGAACGTGATGGCAGTGGAGGCGGCGTCCCAGGCAGCCTGCAGGACCGCGTCCTTGAGGCCTCTCTTGTCAGTGCTGTGGTTCCACTGAGCCAGGTCCGAGGTGCAGTCAGAACCGTCCTGGGGTGGCCGGACCTGGTGGTTGTTGACACAGCGGCGGCACCGCAACCTGGGGAAGACGAGAAAGCAGTGGTCGCTACGGGTCCCAGCCCTCCACAGAGAGCTGCCAGCAAGGGCTCTCCACTCACCTGTCGTGAGTGTCACTGAGGCTCGCCTCGTCCAGGGAAAAGAGTTCCTTCAGCTCCCCCAGGGAGAAGTGCCGCTCCACGTCCTGCTCCTCATCCACCACGCAGCTGCTGAGAGCCTTCTTGTGGCTCTGACGCTGGAAGATCTTCTCCTCGATGGTTCCTGTCTGAGGGGCCCAGAGATCAGGGATGAGGATCCGATTCATCCCCGCAGATGGGGCAGAAACACCCAAGGGTTGAAACTAGAGCTTCCCAAGGGAAGCCACAAATAGAGAGCCCAGGAGCAACACCCCCGCTCGGTTCAGCCCATTCCTCTAGTCTCTCAGGAACACCCAGGAGAGTTTCTGGCACCAGCCACACAGCTCAGGTAGCTGAGATGGCCCTCAGGAGCTTCACTGGACCTCCACGTGAGGCCCAAGTCTCTTATTCAATAAACGTTATTTGGGTGAGAGGAGGACACAAAGAAGAAATCTAACCTGTCTATTCTTAGTCCGGAGAAGAGTGGCAGAGTCAGACATAAAGGAGGATTATCAGAATATGTACTGGGTGGACAAGAGAAACATCAGAGCAGAGGGTCAGAGAGAGGTACAGGAGTAAGGTGCTTGCCGTGAATGTAGCCAACCCCAGTTTAATTCCCAGTAATAAATACAGGTCCTGGAGCACCACCGAGAGTGACTGCTGAGAAGCTTGCAGTAAAGATTATCCTTATGCTCAATCTTGAAAGATGAACTTAGTTTGCAAGATAAAAGGCATTCTGGGGCTGGAGTGTTAGCACAGCAGGTAGGGCGTTTGCCTTGCACGCGGCCGACCCAGGTTCGATTCCCAGCATCCCATAGGGTCCCCTGAGCACCGCCAGGAGTAACCCCTGTGCATCGCCAGGTATGACCCAAAAAGAAAAGAAAAAAAAGGCATTCTAGCAGAAGGACTAAGTTATAAGGTTTGGCCTACACAAGGACTGAGACGTGATCAGCTTGTCGAAAGCAGTGGAGGTCCAATCTGGGCCTCTAGCATGCAAAGCTGCATTCTAAGCATTCAGCGCACTGAATTCAAGCTCTCTGGACCCCAACAAAAGAAGCTGAAGATTATTCGCAAACAATGTCAGATGCTCAAACAGAAAAAGTTGACAGTCTCACTTTGGAAAGGTAAAGGTAAAGTTTGTAAAGGCCCTCCCGTTGATCGTCGATTTGCTCGAGCGGGCCCAGTAACGTCTCCATTGGAGACTTTGTTGTCACTGTGTCTGGCACATTGAATACGTCACGGGGAGCTTGCCAGGCTCTGCCGTGCGGGCGAGATACTCTCGGTAGCTTGCCGGGCTCTCCGAGAGGGGCGGAGGAATCGAACTCGGGTCAGCCGTGTTGGCCGCTTGTAAGGTGAACACCCTACCACTGTGCTATCACTCCAGCTCACTTTGGAAATGAAGGAAAAAAACACTTCAAAGTAGGTTCAGCGGCCTATAATCTGATGAGTAGGGGAAAAGGTAAAAATCTGTAGACTTTACAAAAATGAGGTTGAAGAGAAAGGACAAAGGAGGGTAGAGCACCTGCCTTGCACAAGGCTGACCCAGATTCAATTCCAGGCAACACGGGTGGTGCCCTGAACCCTCCAGGACTGATCAGTGAGCACAGTGCCAGCATAGTAAGACCTCAGCACAGCAGAGTGTGGCACAAAAACAACAAAAAATAGAACAGCGTAAGAATGGGTTGAAAAAAAGTAAAAAAGTAACAGTCCAAAGGGCTAGAGAGCCCTTGCCTTGCACAACCCCAGATGGACCTGGTGCATGGCCAGGATTCCTGCATGCAATGCCAGGAGTAACCCCTGAACATCACCAGGTGTGGCTGCAAACACCCCCCTTCCACCCCCCTCCTCAAAAAAGAGGAAAGGATAGAGTTGGAGGCATTGTTTATAAGGCTGGAGTATATGCTTTGTAGGCAGGAGGCCCAGTTCAATACGCAGCACCACACGATTCCCAAGCACTGCTGGGTGTAGCCCCAGTAAACCAAGTATGGTCCAAAAATCTCAGTAAATACCCTGTGGATTACTCCTGGCTCTACGCTCAGGAATCACTCCTGGCAGTGCTCGAGGAACCATATAGGATGCCGAGGACCAAACAGCTGCAAGCAAGGCAAGCGCCCTATGGGCTGTACCATCACTACTCTGGCCCCTAAATCACGGTCCTCCCGTTGTTCATCGATTTGCTCGAGCGGGCCCAGTAACGTCTCCATTGGAGACTTTGTTGTTACTGTGTCTGGCATATCGAGTACTTCATGGGTAGCTTGCCAGGCTCTGCCGTGCGGGCGAGATGCTCTCGGTAGCTTGCCGGGCTCTCCGAGAGGGGCGGAGGAATCGAACTCGGGTCGGCCATGTTGGCTGCGTGCAAGGCAAACGCCCTACTGCTGTGCTATCGCTCCAGCCCGGCCCCTAAATAACCTTTTTCAAAAGAAAGGATGAGAGGTAAGAGAGAAAATACAGCAGATAAGACACTTGCCTTGCATGTGTCTGACCCGGGTTCAATCCCAGTACCGCATGTGGTCCCCTCAGCCACCAGAAGTGATCCCTGAAGTAAGCCCTGACCACCCGCCAGGTATGGCCCCCAAACTTAAGAAGAAAAAAAAAACAGAGGGACCAGACAGAAAGTTAGCATGCAGTAGGCCTTGGCTCAGGCCCCTGCTAATATTCTGTCCTCCCAGCTCTGCCTGCAGTGACCCTAACACAGAGCGGAGTAGTCCCTGTGTACCCCCCCGGGATGTGGCCCCAAAGAGACAAAAGGAATCTGCAGAACGTCAATGCCATTTCGTCCCACGGGACATATGATCACAGTGCGAGTGGCGCAAAAGATATGAGATAAAGTGAGAAGAAGGAGGTCATAAGGGAGTATTCTGATTACTGAGCACACATCCAAAGGGAAGACTAAGAAGGAACGGGATAAGGAGGACAGAAAACCCCAGGGCTCTAGGCTGGCCACTGCCAGAGAGAAAACGGCCAAGAGGAACCCAGAATGCGAGTCATTCTAGCAGACCTGGTCCCGAGCCCACCGCTGTCCCGACGGTGTCACCGTCCTTACCGAGAGCAGGCGATAGATGTAGCAGGTTTTCTTCTGACCGTCACGCCAGACTCGGGCCATGGCTTGTTCATCATTGGCTGGGTTCCAGTCAGGGTCAAACATGACCAGTCGGTTAGCCCCAATGAGATTGAGGCCGCAGCCCCCAGCTTTGCTGCTCAGCATGAAGACAAAGTCGGGGCTCTGGAAAGAAAGGAGATAGAAGGAAAAGAACCTCTTAAGACTTGAGTTCGAATTATCCGCCCAGCCAGTTTTTCCAACTCAAACTGGAATTCTTGTGAAGTCGGCCTGCCGATAGGCCAGTTTCCTAGTCAGGCATCATTAACCACGATTAAAGGTCAAGAGGACCAGAAAGCAAAACCTCTTGCCATTCTGATTCCTTGGGCCACTCAAACCCTTTTTCGGGAGACCGTAAGATGCAGAGATGGAAGCTGAGGGTCCAACGTGCAAAGCATGAACTCCAGTCCTTTGAGCCCCTCTCAGAGCCCTTCAGTCAACCATTTCTGCATTCGTTTTCTTGGGTCTTCTGTTGCTATTGTTTCGGGGACTGGAGGGCACAACCACTGATGCTCAGGGCTTACTCCTGACTCTGTACTCAGGGATAACTCCTGCCCTGCTGCCATGCGCGGGATCATATCAAGGTCAGCCGTGAAAACAGCATATGCCAACCAACTCCCTATACTCCCTGGCCCCATCATTTTTTCCCCCTGTGGTGTTCGAGAAGGCTAGGAGGGGACAGATGGGAGGCTATTTAGGAAATCCATCTCCTTCCCTCCATTTCTTATTCATTTCCTCCCTTCATTCCTTTCCTTTTGCTCGAGGGCTATCCCTGAGATACTTAGCAGCTACTCACCACTTGAGACCATGTGGTACAAGAGAAAACCCAGGACTTGAGCACGAAAGCAAGCACTCCATCCCTTGGGTCAGTTTCCCAGTCCCTCAGCCCTTTTAATTCTGATACTACTGCATCTCTGGTATAAAGACAGGGGCTGTATAATTACCGCCGGATCATTGAAGCGCTCCACAACCTTGGCCCGCTTCTTGATGGACATTGTGCCATCCAAGCGAACATACAGGTACCTGGAAGGGATCCCAGATTAAAACCCCAAAAGGAGAGAAGGCCCCCTGGAGCCACAGCCATCAACATGACTGACTAGTCACACTTTAGACTCTTCTGAACTGTCTGAAGTCCAAAGCTTCCAAACAGACTGGCCCCAGGAGCACCAGAGGAACCAAGGACTCTTTGACAGACCGAAGCAAGACACGGGCACCGTGGGAAGAGCCCTCTGGAAACTCTCAACTACATTTCAGAACACCTGTGCTCACTAGAGGGCCAGCGAAGGGCACCCCTTTCGGCAGCCTTCCCCCTTACCTCCGGGTCCGGCAGAGCTTCTCGAAAAGGTCCAGTGTCTGGGTGTAATTGGAGACCAACACGACCTTGTCGTTGCTGCGGCTTCGGGTCACTGCCAGAATGTAATCAAGGACCAGCATCTTACCTGGGAATCGGCAACAACATTAGCCCCAGCGGCTGGCCCACTGACGCGGCGCCTTGCTCT